TAGTTCTTACTTGTGTATTATATAATGATATATAAATTATTTTTGTTAGATAATCTAAAATGTTGTAAGAAATATATATTTCAAATAAGGTATATATTATTCTCATTTTTTAAAATGAGAAAAATATTTAGTACTAAACTTCAGAACAAACTTTTTTAATAAATACATTTATAGAAGACAAAATACTTAATAATGTTTCTGAATATCCTCTGAACATAAAACAGCATCATACTTTAAAACACTGCCACTATTTTATAGTATATTTTTTTTAATGGACAAGACATTGAGAAATGTTGTTTTAGTGCTTCTTTTCAAAAATTAAATTTATCTTAAAATTAAAAATATATTTGAAATAACATTCTATGTTAATCAAACAATTATTACAATTTATACCCTCATTATAACTTTCGATTCTCTGCATCATTTCATTATGTTATGAATGAACATAGTATTGTTTATTATTAACGTAATATATTCATTCATAAACAAATATATAATACATATTTTCATTCATTGTGTCATTCTTATTATCATATGTACACATCACATTAAAATTTTCAGATAATAAAAAAAAATATGCTCAAATTATTATGTAATTAAATTCTTATTTATATATAGTTGTCTCTTGAGGAATTATGTAAAACCTGAAAAAACTGAATCTTACCTAAGAAATAAAACAAATTATCTTACTGTAAATTCTACAGTCAAGCTTATTCTTCCAAATTTAGGGTTATTCAAACTTCAAACACAAACCAAACTAAAAGTAATCTATTTTAAAATCACATTTAAACTAATTTGAGAGATGTGTTTCAATATTATAATCCATAATATATAAAATAATCTTTCTTCTTATAAATCAGGATATGTTTACATTATCTTATTATAATTATTTTTTAAAAAATGAAATGAGATTAAATGTTTATGATAATTTTTTTCAATATATTATAAACTTTGAATCACACAAATTTTTACTAGAAAAAGAAAAATAAAAAAAAAGTAAAATTTGATGTCAAGTTAAATCTTTATTGATTTTTATCTAAATTTTATTTAAAAAGATATTATATAACTCATCTATCTAAAGACTTCATTATCAGTTATATTATTTGAACTGAAAAACAAGTGTAAAGCAACTGTAATATGCAATTATCAAAAATTTTAAGTTTAAAATCTTTTCAGAATATTTTGAATAATTAAAAACTTTTAAAGTGTTTTCAAAAAGTATTAGTTATTTGAATAATATATATAAATATCAATAAAACATTGCAACTATTATGAAAAACACAGTTTAACAAGTATATGACGACTTTTTGTAAATACATTATATATGCAAAAATTCAAACCACCTACATATTAATATACAATAAAAAACAAAACAGAATAAATGTCTAACTACTTTTGATATTTTAACATAGTACATTTATATATGTAAAACTCAGTTATTTCAAAAAAAATAAAATATTTATAGAGCAAAATTCTAAAATCAAAAATGGAAATATGTAAAAAATTTATTATTATTAAATTAGACAAAATACTATTAAGTAAAAGACTGCAATCATTAGCACACCAAATTCTATTTATAAAACTTTAATAAACAATGATTTTTACCTGAAGGCATAGATCATCTATATATATATATATCCTAACAACAAATATATCAAATAAATATAAACTTCACTAAGTATGGTAAATGTACAGTACAAACTGGTGAGATTTATACAATATTCAACAAATTAAAACTACCACACTAAAATAGAAAAAGATTAAAACATATTTACATTAGTTTGTAATTATGTAATTTAGTAATTATTCATTTAGTATTGTAACTTATAATACTTTAACTAGCAATTTTTGATATTTTCATTGCAAATATTATTCTTCACATAAATTGAGAATATACATGAAGCCAGTATATCTCAAAACTGTCATTAGGGAATGCAAAACACATGAACATAACACAGTAGAATATAATCATGACAAATTAATGACCGACTGTAGTTTTTAATACAGAACAAAAATAGAACTTAAAAATGGATTCGGATATTGGTCAGGCTATTCACATAATTTTAAGGATAAAACTCTTAAATCAGGTCACACTGATATTTAACTAACAGAATAATAAATGTTCTATACTGACAGATTTGGGAGTAAAATATTGCTTTAATACAATGACCAATTTAGCAGATATTTTAATGTTATAACTATTTGGCAATCTCTTAGCTTTTGAAATAATTTCTTTTTCTAAAAAACAGTTAAGATTGAACCACCTTTAATTTTTCAAGGTCAACAAGAAGTCATGATTAGATAACAAACAAACTGCCATTTTGAAAACATTTACATATTCAAAAAGACTATTCTTTTATTAGCATTGTATAAAAGCAGTATAAATTCATGCATAAAGAAATATAAATGAGCAACAGCAGTTCAATTTAAAAACAAGATAATACATCATAAATCTAAAATTTTGGTTATAAAAAGTTGTGTAATAACTATTACATTAAAAAATTATATTCCTTTTATTTAGTTTTTAAGTTTTCTGTAAGAACAGTTTATGCACAAGAATGAAAATTTAAAACTTTTGCAATTAATTTCCATCATATTATCAAACAATTCAAATGATGATTTTCTACATACAAATTCTATAATTATTCAGACAGAAAGGACACAGTAAATATACTGTATTTAAAAAATTGTTTATAATATTACTTCAAAATGAAATCTTAACAATAATAAATTTTTTAAATTTAAATTATCTTAAGATATGAAATTTTTAAATTAATCTAAAATATTAGGGTATTTATTCAAAAATGATATAATTATAGGTTTTGATTTTTTTATAATAGATAAAACATTTAAGATAATTGGAAGGAGAAAAATAGATTCACACTTTCAGTTTTATCATTCTTATCTTTTTACATTTCTTTTATCATAATAAAAATAAAAAAATATATAAAATTCTTATAGTGATACATATTTAATAAATTTAAGTCTACAAGCATTATAAAAATTCTGAGGTAAACTTTTAAAGTATTTTGATCAAAATTTTTATTTTAAATTCTTTGATAAATATATTTATTTATCAGTTTAATATTTGTACCTATCATTTATAATGATTATAATTCATAAAGATGATCATTTATATGCAAATTAAAAATGATTAATATGAAGTTTAATAAAAAGATGATAATCCAATTTCAATGCTTTTTATCAAAATAACTAATAAATTTTTAAAATAATTAATCACAACAAATTAGATTTCGAAAATATTTTCAATTTTATAAATTTTGCAAGAATCGCCATTCAGATTTTTAAATTATTCGGAATAACGGTAATCTTCGATTAGAATGTCGAAAATAATTATATTCCCGTCTTTTTTTAATACGTTTTAGTAATTTATATGTTTTATAAAGTTAAAATCATAAACAAAATTATTCTGTTTTTATGCTTTACAGTAACTCAATAAAATTTTATAGTTGGAATAAAACTTAGATTTTATCATTACCAAAAAGTTAGGATATCCTATAAGATCACCATCTTCATAATCATTTAATTTTGATTAAAAATAATATGTACAGTACATATTATAAAAATTTAAATATAAATTATAAATATTTACATTTTTTCTTAACCATTTTTATTTTTGTATAAATCTAAAATATTAATTATATTATTCATTTATATAAAGAGGCGAGAAAATTATTTTAGAGAAGTCACGTCATTACAAATGGCATAAAATTTTAAAAAATCCTCCAAAATATTTACTGTTTATTTTTTCTAACTTAATTTTTTAACAAATAGTTCCTAATATAAAGATAAAATACTCAATACCAATAATTTTTCCCGATTAAGAAATTTTATTTATTTATTTTGAATTAATTTTTATTAAAAAAAAAGAAAAAAAAATGTAAAAATATAATTTAAATATCAAAATTTCAAATATTTTTAATCATTTAACAAATCACAATTAGCAATTTAAAAAAAAAAAAAAACATTTAAAATAAAAATTTAAATCAATTATTTATTTATTTACTTTTTTAATTTTGTATAAAATATGATTTTATTTTTTTAAATGAATATTTAATTAAAACATTTTAAATATAATATATAAACAATAATAATGTGACATGTCATTTTGTATTTTGAAATTGAGTCTTATTTGTAAATATCACATGTGAAATAGATTAATTATCAATTGATTACAATGACAATAATCGGCGTCGATGGAAAAATACCCGAGAAAATAGGAATAATATTGATTTGAAACGTGTTTTATTCCTTAAAGTAATTTATTAAAGAAATTTAAATTGAATAATTATTTTTGCAAACAAAAGATGGAGAAATTTGTCGAATTGTCCCCAATCGGAAGGAACCGATAGATGTTATAGGCGAACGTAAGAAAGAATTGACAAGAGGCGAAGATAGAAATGAAAACGTTTAAAGTCGGCAATTGAGTCGAAATCTAAATGGAAAAGCGAGTCAATGCAAGGCATTAAACAACCGAAATGCAGATGTGAAGGCCGAAACCGCTAAAGCCCCCTCCTATTGGTTAGTCTATGTAGTATTAAATGAAACAGTCGGAACTATTGGCCGACGCACGCGGCGCCCGTCCCGTCCACGAACAAGAAACGGAATCCACCATTTCCATCTTTTGTTCCGATCGGCAGTCGTCATAGAAGAAAATGTCGATAGTTATGAAATATCTTTCTTATAATAATGTCATACCGGTTATTATTTAAAAACGTTAATAAATAAAGCTACGAGTTTCTAACTTATGATTTCGATATCGATTGAAAATACTGAAGGATTTCAGCACGGAAATGAAAATCACGCACAGCGGGCGACCATACACGTTCAGAATGGCGGGAAAATGGTTGTCGTCATTTTGAAAAAAAAGAAATTGAGTCTTTTCGACGACAAAGACTTTTTTATCGAAGACGACAATTGTTGCGAAATATTAGTAAGTTCATCCGGTCCTATTAATGGAATGTTGATGGTGTACGTACCCATCTTGTGTCCGGTCCTGATAATATTTAAATTGGCGACGGGAAATGCTTAAAGGACAACCTTGATGTGAGAGGAACTCTCGTCGTAGCAGCCTGTTGGTTGATCGGTCGCTCGCTGACGACGACGCGCCACCCCTCGGATAGGGTGCTTTAACCTCGGACCAAAGGTGTTTTCATCTTGAGGAGCGAGGAATGTACTATGAGGATGCAAATCATCCCGACCATACTTCTTTTTTCTTTATTCTTTCCTCACTATTTTCTCCATTTTTTTTAAACNAACTAAATATAGAAAGAAATTTTCAGTTGATAATTAAAATAAAATTAAATTCACTGAATTAAACTATTATTATTATTATTTTTTAACTTAATATATTACAATTTATAGTATATTTAAACATTTTTTTAATACATGGAGTGCCAATTTAAATTTTTTTTCAGAAATTTATTAAAATTTTGTCTAATTATTTGAGTTTTATATGAAAAAAATGATTTAATTTTAGGCAATCTATAACGTATGTTGTTTGATGATAGAAGGTGACGTAAAACGTGGGCGATCTGCCAAGGGGTTCTCCCCAGGAAGATTTTTCTTTGGGAAAATTGGCCTCTAGTTAGGTGTTTTATACGCGAAGAAAACCCGGAAATTAATTAAAAATTTTGATTCAAACACACTAAAATACAGACAAAAAAAAAGCACTGATATGTATGAAAACCAGGAAACTCAGGCGAGAATCCACCAATGCTCGATGGTTTTATTCACTGGTGGTACAGTATATATTATTATTCTCATTCCGCACCTTAATAAAGAGATATTTTTTCTTCCTTATTATTAATTCCTTAAAAATTAAAAAGTTATTTAATTCATTATTATTTAGTTTTACCCGATAATTAATTTCATTAAGTTTGTTATTTAAATATCGTTCTGTCGAATCAAATTATATTTAAAGGGAAAAAAAACAAAAACAGATCTTAAATAAAATTCAATACTATCCAAATTAAAAATTTAATTTAAAAACAGAATAATTTTAAATAATTTTTAACAATCCTTTTCTCTTAATCTTTTATTTTTATGGACATTTTAAATATATTTTTTAATGGTTTCTGACTATGTAAATAACAAGAAACTTCTTTGTTTACTTTAATTAAATAGCAAAACTTTTAATTTCTTAATAAAAAAAAAACCTTATAATTTTTAGTTACAAAAATAAATTTTAAAAATTTTTATTTAAGATAATTCTCTGAAAGTTTAATATACAACTAATTAAGTATAGCAAAAATATAATAAAATGAATATAAAATTCAATAAGCGTACATTAAAAAAGTATGTTAAATAGAATATAAATTCATTATAAATAAATTTTGACTCATTATTTTATCATAAAAAATTCTTAAGATAAAATTCTATTTATTTATTCAAACAAACGAATACAGCAAAACCCGTTCAAAACGGAAAAATATTCGGTACCGCGCGACTCCCGTTTACACAGGTTTTAATGTAATTATTTTGATAAAATACCACAAATAATATATATATATAATTAGGCTAATAATAAGCTATGATATTTAATAAATTTTAATTGATTTTAACTTTCTGATTCTCGAAGAATGCGAGTGAAAATATAGTCAGCGTGCATGCTATTCCTTGCGTGTTGCAACTCTATATGTCAAATTCTGTAACCGTGTAATGCTGTAACGTTTAAGAACGTTTTCATTTATATTTTTATCGTATCATCGAATTTTAAGCTAGGCTTTTCTTTTTTTTTATTAACTAACATTTCTTTTTATCATTAAAATAAATTATCTAATCGATTAATCATGTAATAATCTCATTTAACGCGTAAGAAAATAGACGGTTACAAATTCTCATTGACGTTTATTGTCGATATGAATATATATATATATTCATATCGACAATAAACGTCAATGAGAATTTGTAACCGTCTATTTTCTTACGCGTTAAATGAGATTATTACATGATTAATCGATTAGATAATTTATTTTAATGATAAAAAGAAATGTTAGTTAATAAAAAAAAAGAAAAGCCTAGCTTAAAATTCGATGATACGATAAAAATATAAATGAAAACGTTCTTAAACGTTACAGCATTACACGGTTACAGAATTTGACATATAGAGTTGCAACACGCAAGGAATAGCATGCACGCTGACTATATTTTCACTCGCATTCTTCGAGAATCATATGTCTCTTTTTACAAATCCTCCGAAACCTGTATGATCAATTTCATCGAAGTTCTTCTTATTGAAATCTTGTTTCCTTTTTGAAAATTGATTAAAGCCCACTCGATCAATTTCATCAAAGTCCCTTTTCTCTTGACCAAAGGTTGCTCCACTCAAACTATCGAAACGTTTCGATTCCCCAAATGTCATACCGCTGAGAGTATCAAGATTTCTTTTCGGCAATTTCAAAACTTCGCCTCCGCTCAATCTATCTAATGCTCTTGGTGGGACCAAATTTGGTGTTTCGGGGTTGTTCCAATCATTCGGACTCTGATCTTCGGCATATTTCAAGACAATTCCTCCATTCAAACTATCTAGAGATCTTAATACTTCACCTCCGCCTAAACGATCCAAGGATCGGACTTCTCCTCCTGGATGACGAAAATATCGATTTGCATGCAAATAGAAAGCGGGATCTTGAAAGTATAAGTTTCTTCCAATTGTTCGGCCATTTTCACTGATTGCAGAACCTTGATACCGCAACTAAAAACAAAAAAGTAATCTGTCTGTAGCTTTACAGTATATAAAATACAAAACTTAAGAGATAAATCTCGATAATAACCATTCAATATCTTAAACTATGAATTTATAAGTGGTTCGACAATTAATTTATTTTATTTATTTAATATATTTATTTATATAAATTTGTTTTTCTGTTCTGAATTTTAATTTTTTAATTATTAACAGACAACATATTGACTTTTTTTCTTTTATTATTTTTCTTCTGGCAGCTGAAATAGTTTATCAAAAAAAAAAAAAGTGCTTATAAGTAATTAAATCTTTAAAATTATCTCTAATTTATGTCTCTGTGTTCAACATAGAAATATAATTTTTAAAATTCGTCGAAGCATATACATATGTACAGCTTTTTTATATAAAAATTCATATTTATTTTCGTATAAATTATGCTAGAAAATTCATGAATAATATTCGTAAACATTATATAATTAGCACTTATAATCTAATAACTATTTAATGGCGGGTGGTCCTTCTTGTTTATTTATTTAATACAGTAAAATCTGTCCAAAACAGAAATCTGCCAAACCGCGTGAGTCCGGTTTACGCAGGTTTTACTGTATTTAATATAATTCCGTGCGCATTAAAGTTGGCACCTCTGCCTTTAGAAGACTCTAAGGTCATACTAAAAAAAGGAAGGAAATTTGTAATACTGTGAACTTCCCTTCTGAAATTCTGCTTTCTTATTATATTAATTTTTCATGTAAGAAAGCTATTTAGTATAATAACATCGTATTAATTTTTAATAAGCTTTCTTTGAATATCGATTGAAAAGATCAAAGTAAGAAATTTATTTTCACAATATTTAACTCCGGTATTAAATTTATTTAGAATTAAAGTTACATTTTAACAAAATCTTATAATAAATGAAAGAGGTTTTACTCTTAAATTAAGGTTTTTTTTTTTTTCTTCTTCTCTCCGCTCGAGAAAAATTAGTAAAATTATCCTGTTTTGTATTTAAAATTACGAGAAATTTGCGCATTTGTACTAAGGAAAATTAAAAAATAAGCTAGTGTAAATAAATTTTTCTTCGTTAGCGATTAGATTCCTCTATTATTGTATAATTATACAATAATAGAGGAATTTTATGAAATTTTAAGATATAGTACGNGAAATTTCGAAGTTTTAATATTCGATTAAATCAGAAAAATCCTTCTTGTATATAATTTAATTTAAGTCGGAAGTTTAACACAAATTAATCTGCAGTTTATGAACTATTAGGTCACGATCGTATATATATTCCCGGATAATGCCACCATCTTGCAATATGCCGAAACGGGGTTACTAAGTAAAAAAATGTGGGAAAACTTTGGGCTAACAAAAAACGTGATTGGATTATGAAAAGTTCGAAGTAAGCTAAAAAAACATGTATAGAAATTCAATGGAGTGCGGATAAAAATTGAAAAATATTTAGTAGTTCCCTTCTTTAATACATTAGAAATACTTTCTCGTACCTTACTTTGGGAACGAATAATCACAGGCTTTGATCAAAAATTACGGGCAGATTTTTATTTTATTTTAAAAAAGAATTGTTTTATCTATTTCCTTGTAATATATCTCATATATTACGTTCATATATCAATTTAATAAGGACGTTATAAATCAAAGATTATCTCCTTTCAAAGAGTAATCGAGCGATGTTCTGATAGAACTGATTTAAATCTACAAGTTTTATTTATTTAAGTGTGAGATTACTAAACGTTAATTTAAATTCTGCTGCCACTTTAATGTATAAATTACTTGTTAATGTCAAAGTAAAAATGTTTATACGAATTTTTACATTTCTCAAAGCGTATTATTGACTATTAATGATTAGAGATTTTACTAAGTTGTAAGATCATCAATTTATATAACTTTAGATAATAGAAAAAAAAATATATATATGTGCATATTTAAAATTAAAATAGATTTTGAAATAAAATTTAATGTACTGTACAGTACATCGGTTTATTTATTCTTTACTTAAGTTGTTATGGTGATGAATACATAAATAAGTATTGTATAATGTGTCTTCGTTTTCTTTCAAATTACTCGGTAAATAACTAAAAATTACATTTACTGAATATTTTTGTCTTGTAAATTTTAATTTCGTATTAATAATTTTTACTCAAGAAAGAAGAGAAAAAAAATTAAATATCCGTATAAAATTTTTGCTCATAAATTACAATTTGAAACTTAAAATTGTGGCGATAAGCAACAATTTATTTAGTTCCGTATCAGAAAATAAAATTTTATTATTTGCAAAAAAATTTATTAACTTAATAAATTTTTTGCAAATAACGAATACATTGCATTATTGATTTTTCCCGTACAGATAAAAATAAATCGAACTTTTTTTTTTTATATATTTATATAAATTTTTACGGAAAAAAATTAATTTTATTATAATATTAAAGCTTTTTTTAAGGGGGGGGACATTTTATATAATAATAATAATTTAACTTGTAATTACATTATTTAATATAAAATTTTACTCTTTAATACGCGGTAATTCGAGTAGGGGGATAAAATATACAAAGTTTAAGTGCCGAAAATTTCAATAATCTGCGTATTGATGATTAAAAAAAAAAACATTACTCGATTGATATAACATTATACTAAGTTTCATGATGTTTCAAATAGCCAAAAAAAAAATCTATTAAAAGGAACGTTACGTCAAACTATCATAGATAATGGAACTAAACTACAAGATACGTAATGGACTATTGTAACCGAAACGTAACATAATCGTATATAATATCAAATTGTGAACAAAATTTGTTCGATCTGAAATTTCAATTGTATAAGTCTGTAGAGCATAAATGTTTCTAAATAAAGATAGATTTAGAAAAAAAAAAAAAAAACATTCTACGCATTTATCGAATTAGATTAAGTTGAATTTTTGATCGGCTAAACAACTTTTACCTTAAAAAATAACTTCACTGGTTTGTAAAGATTACACTTATTGTAGTATATTTAGATAATAAACAATAAAATAGTATCCTATAAAAAAAGGTCTGGTCGTCTAAAGTTTTATTCTATAACACGTAATAAAATGGTGGTTTTCAAAAGAATTTTTGGAACGACTGTGTCTTTATTTACAAACAAAAAAAAAAAAAAATAATAATAATAATAGTTTAATTCAGTGAATTTAATTTTATTTTAATTATCAACTGAAAATTTCTTTCTATATTTAGTTTAAATAAGATAAAGTTTATAATATCGAGAAAATGTTGACGTGTGGAACGTCGGATTTTTAATAAATTCTACAGAATTTCTACTTATTAAGCTATTTATTAGATCGTAAATAATTATATCCCGTTTATTAAATTGGAAATTTCGAAGTTTTAATATTCGATTAAATCAGAAAAATCCTTCTTGTATATAATTTAATTTAAGTCGGAAGTTTAACACAAATTAATCTGCAGTTTATGAACTATTAGGTCACGATCGTATATATATTCCCGGATAATGCCACCATCTTGCAATATGCCGAAACGGGGTTACTAAGTAAAAAAATGTGGGAAAACTTTGGGCTAACAAAAAACGTGATTGGATTATGAAAAGTTCGAAGTAAGCTAAAAAAACATGTATAGAAATTCAATGGAGTGCGGATAAAAATTGAAAAATATTTAGTAGTTCCCTTCTTTAATACATTAGAAATACTTTCTCGTACCTTACTTTGGGAACGAATAATCACAGGCTTTGATCAAAAATTACGGGCAGATTTTTATTTTATTTTAAAAAAGAATTGTTTTATCTATTTCCTTGTAATATATCTCATATATTACGTTCATATATCAATTTAATAAGGACGTTATAAATCAAAGATTATCTCCTTTCAAAGAGTAATCGAGCGATGTTCTGATAGAACTGATTTAAATCTACAAGTTTTATTTATTTAAGTGTGAGATTACTAAACGTTAATTTAAATTCTGCTGCCACTTTAATGTATAAATTACTTGTTAATGTCAAAGTAAAAATGTTTATACGAATTTTTACATTTCTCAAAGCGTATTATTGACTATTAATGATTAGAGATTTTACTAAGTTGTAAGATCATCAATTTATATAACTTTAGATAATAGAAAAAAAAATATATATATGTGCATATTTAAAATTAAAATAGATTTTGAAATAAAATTTAATGTACTGTACAGTACATCGGTTTATTTATTCTTTACTTAAGTTGTTATGGTGATGAATACATAAATAAGTATTGTATAATGTGTCTTCGTTTTCTTTCAAATTACTCGGTAAATAACTAAAAATTACATTTACTGAATATTTTTGTCTTGTAAATTTTAATTTCGTATTAATAATTTTTACTCAAGAAAGAAGAGAAAAAAAATTAAATATCCGTATAAAATTTTTGCTCATAAATTACAATTTGAAACTTAAAATTGTGGCGATAAGCAACAATTTATTTAGTTCCGTATCAGAAAATAAAATTTTATTATTTGCAAAAAAATTTATTAACTTAATAAATTTTTTGCAAATAACGAATACATTGCATTATTGATTTTTCCCGTACAGATAAAAATAAATCGAACTTTTTTTTTTTATATATTTATATAAATTTTTACGGAAAAAAATTAATTTTATTATAATATTAAAGCTTTTTTTAAGGGGGGGGACATTTTATATAATAATAATAATTTAACTTGTAATTACATTATTTAATATAAAATTTTACTCTTTAATACGCGGTAATTCGAGTAGGGGGATAAAATATACAAAGTTTAAGTGCCGAAAATTTCAATAATCTGCGTATTGATGATTAAAAAAAAAAACATTACTCGATTGATATAACATTATACTAAGTTTCATGATGTTTCAAATAGCCAAAAAAAAATCTATTAAAAGGAACGTTACGTCAAACTATCATAGATAATGGAACTAAACTACAAGATACGTAATGGACTATTGTAACCGAAACGTAACATAATCGTATATAATATCAAATTGTGAACAAAATTTGTTCGATCTGAAATTTCAATTGTATAAGTCTGTAGAGCATAAATGTTTCTAAATAAAGATAGATTTAAAAAAAAAAAAAAAAAACATTCTACGCATTTATCGAATTAGATTAAGTTGAATTTTTGATCGGCTAAACAACTTTTACCTTAAAAAATAACTTCACTGGTTTGTAAAGATTACACTTATTGTAGTATATTTAGATAATAAACAATAACAAGAATATGCGTCAAAGTTTATTTTAAAAAATAAATAAATAAATAAATAATAATTAATGGAAATTCTTACCTGTTGCGATTCGGAAAATGTCATAAAGAGCAGCAAAATTGTCAAAGCAAAGTACATGTTAGCGTGATATCTTTCGTTCTGCAAAGTCAGAGTTGGTGTCAAAAAAAAAGTACATAACTACTTATATAGGTGAATGGAGATAAAGATAACCAATGGAATAGTTAAGAACGAATCACGTGAATGATATTCATCCAATCGAGTGTAATATACCGTTTACCATCGAAGACAGTACAGAACAAACAAAAGTTAATGAAAGTTTGTCACATTTTAAGTTAGCCATAAATGCTTATCGGGAAGTATTAAATTGGGTTTCCGCTTTTATCTTCGGAAAGAATTATTTTTTAAAACTTTATTTGAATAAATTTATCGTTGTTTTAAAATATAGAAACAGAATATTTTACAATTATATTAAGTTACTTTAAAAAATAAGTAACTAGGCCTTTACCATTGTTTTTATATATGAAAAGCAATAAAATATACTTCAATTATTGTTAAAATTTCTAATTTTAAGGCATATAATAAACGTGTAAAAAGAGATTAAAAAAGCATTAATTGAAAAAGTAGTCGGGGATCAAATGTAAAATTTTAAATTCTAATCAAGTAACGTCAATTCTGAACACGTGTAGAAAGTTTTTAAATTCATGCATCTATGATACCAAATTTAATACTGTTTTGTTGAAAGAAGGAATTATAGAACCCGCTAAATTGATCCGTTTAATTATTGTTAAGGCCTCACTGTCTTTCAGCTCATTGTTTGGATCTACTTCCTGCTGATACTCTCCACGAGATATTCCATTACTTTCAATCAAAGGATTTCTACTAAACTTAAAAGAGATTTTATCGTCACTAACAATGTAAGTTACCGAGAAGATTAATAAAAAAAAATTATTTTTTGAAGGACAGAGCATCTAAAATGTAGTTCAATAGTATTCAAACAATAGAAATAATCTTTCAAATTGTAAGAACATAAATATACTTCTGTAATTATTAGGATTAACAACGAAAGATTATACAATTATATGTTGATTTGTATAAAGCTTCGACCATTACAAGTATCTTTTGATAAGAATTTTATTTTAAAATATGAAAATTAATGGTTGATAACATATTTAAATTTTTACACATTTTACAGAAGAATATGAGCCTTTAATTAATTCTTAATTGAAATATCTAAACACTGATTATTGTTTCTAATATTTAACATTCAAAATTTTATATTTTATACTGTTGTATCTTTTTATTCATATAAATATTCATTAATCAGTACATTTTTAATTATGCTTATTTGAACTTTTACCATAGAATTACATTACAAAAATGGTTCAATTTAGTTTTTAATCTGAAAAAAATAATAATTGAAACCTTCATTAATATTTATATTTAGTATATTTTCTTAAAAATAAAAAAAAGACGAAAAAAAAAACAGTTGAATAATGATTAATCCACCTTCGCAATTTCGGTCATCGAGACGAGTTAAAATAATCAGTGTTCCTATCAATAGAAACTCGATAAGTTCTTGTCAATAGAAAGTATTCATTCAATAATTACATGAAAAGCGTTGACAGGAATACGAAATGACGTATTTTGTTAGCACAAACCAGTATGGCGAATTTGATGTAAAGAGACACCTTTAGTTGAATGACCACCTTGAATTCTAATCGAGTCATTTCTTCCTGAAGTATCAATTGTGCCCAAATATTCATTAACACCTGTTAAATTTATATTAAGCCATTTTTAAAAAAAAATTAAATACATTTTTCATTATATATAACTTTGTCTTTATTTAAAATAAATTTAATCGTATAGTAACTGTATTTCTTTTTGTTCTTTTTTACTTGAAAATTCGAAAATAAATTACATAGGCTGTATTCTATCATAAAAGATAATTACATATTGAAGTGGATTATAAAGATTGACAGATTTATAACCTCATTTATATATCATTAAGATTTCATTTGAACTGATCAAAATAATTGCGCTTTTTTTTTTATAGCTTTCATAGAAACCATCTGGTCTGTGTACACATCATAGTGTTTGTGCATAAACGTTCAAACTATCAGCCATCCTTACTAATTACTTACTTTTGCTTGACAACTTGACACTTGTCTTCTTATTCAAACAGTAACGTCACTCCATGCAATTCAAGCACATAGGATATATTATGACGGTTTATAAACGTATGTGAAGTTTTAGAAGAGATTTTTGTAATTAAAAGCAATGATTTTTAGTAAACTTTTCACGCCATTATCCTAAAATACCTCTTCAATTTTATACATAATTAATTTAGAAAGGAATAAAATGAATATAAACAAATTAAACTTAACTATTTATATTTTACTTTTATTATTATTATTATTATTTAAACTGAAAATGAATGGAAAATTTGAGAAATTTATCAATACTTCGAAGATTTTAAATAACATTTATATTTATTAATATTCATAATGTAAAGAATTTAATTAAAATCTACGTTTATACATTAAATATTGACTGAACTAGTGTAACAATATATATATATATACATTGACTGAAATACATAGATTTATTTATATTAGATGAGATTTATTTAAAAATTATAAATATATATTTTTTTCCTTAATAAAATTCGTTCATTTTTCATTTACATCGAGAGATTTTAATAAATGTATAATGACTTTACACAAGGATAAATTCGCAAGTTAACTAATGCTTGGTGTTTAGAAACATTTTAATATCTTTTGATTAACTTTTAAATTTTCATTTCGAATTTGATTGAAGCAAAGCTTCTTTCTTAATCTTTTAAATATTCATTATAAAATTCAACTTTATGCAAATGATTAAAAGATCCAAGTAATATAAGCTATATATAATTAACACAGAAGAACACACACAGTTAATACCACGTTTTAATTCAAAAAATTAAATTTAGTAGATTATAATTAACAGTATATATTTTTTAAAATAATAAATGATTTTCGATAGAGAATTTATTATAAAAAATATATATATAAAAGTTTTAATTTAATACCAAATAAAAATACTAATTTAAAGTATTAGGGAAGATCGGGGCAACTTCGGCATGCGGGGCAAGTTTGTCAAGCGCTTTTTTTAAAAAACAAATTAAAAGGAGACTTTGGTTATAGGTTAGGCAGTTGAGTTTTATTGGTGGCTTGTTGAGTGTAGTGTTTTTATTGTTCTCCAACAAGCGTAGTTGAATTATCAAGCAAATTTTCATTTTCGTTCAATTCCATATAATATTTTTTTTCCATTTATATTGAATTGGCAGGTTTTGTTATAATTCCATGATAACGAAAGTTACTTTTCCTGTTAGAAGGATGTAACTTCAACTTATTCACGTGGCCAGATCGTGGCTTGGCATTCTGTTCTCAGGGTTGTACTTAATGTTTCGAAATCATGACTAGCGGGGTAAGATCGGCAACATAAAGCCACATTAGAAGCAAAGGATAAAAATCAAACAGATGATAAATGAAAACATGTTTGCATTTGTTATTCATGTATATATGTCTTTGAACTTGCATTTCGTTGTAATAATATTAAATGGGTGTTGGATTTGTATTTCTTTGTTTTAATAGTGAATTCCAACTTATACATTGTTAATAACATAATTTTATATACGTGCCTATCTTGCCCCATTACTGTTGCCCCTATACCAGGGGCAACTTTAATAAAAATAATTAAAATAATTACAACTTTACAAAAAGAGAGAAGTTGCCGATCTTGCCCCTATACCCGGGGCAACTTCGTCAATTTCTCTCTTCTTGTAAAGTTGTAATTATTTTAATTATTTTTATTTCCAAACTGATTTTAACCAGTTCTATAGTAAGGTAACATTCCAATAGACAATATGCAAAGCTTTTTTTTCAGTTTACAGCAGTATTTATTACACAAAATTTAAGTAAAGCTTAACATGCTGATCTTGCCCCGATCTCCCCTAATTTTATGTTATTACAAGGGAAAAAAGCTAGATTCTTTTAAATAAGTTTTATATTAAATTAAATATTATTAAATATAATAATATTTAGTAAACCTGTATAAAACGGACTCGTACCGAATACTTTTTCTGATTTGGCAGGTTTCCGTATTAAACAGGCTTTCTTTAACATAGAAAATCGCTGGGGTCTTAAGAATTTTCTCCAGTTTAGATAGGTTTTATTAATTAAGATTCCGGTTTACGCAGGTTTTACTGTATTTTAAATCTAATTAGACATTGATTGGCTATTATAATGACTTAATGAAGTCGATGAGAAAGAAATTAATCGTATAAAAGGTAAAAAGATATGATTTTATTTTTAATATTCTTAAATTTAAATACTAATCTTAATAACTTTTTTTTAGAAAGAAGAATGATATTTAAATTCTAGAACAAAGTAATTTTCAATAAAAATTATTATATTATTCATATTATAATTTATAATGAGGATCTAAATATAATAATATTTAAACATTTGAATGTTATTATAGATTAATTAATATGAATCAGGCACTAATAATAGAATAATGCGGAGGAAGAAGAGGAAAAAAGTGATAGACTTAATTACGTCAGGCTATCAGGAATGAATATAAACACGATTTGAAGTGTCTTGTAAATATATGGTGGGTTTAAATGGTATCCAGGATGTGATTTTTCATAGAATTTTTGTAGAATTATCTTCAAAAGAGTTTAGAAGAATCGAGCCGATTCGTAACAAGTGCTTAGATCAATGGTTTCCGACCGTTTTTCACGTATTGACTCCTTTTAAGAAAAACATTTTTCCATCGACCACCTTTAATATTATGTATTGTATATTATACAATATTATATTACAATAAAACCTATATAAATAGGAAAAAAATCGTAGGATCGCAGCAATTTTCTATGTAAAAAAAAAACCTGTTCAAAACGAAAACCTGCCAAACCGGTAAACATATTTGGAACCGAACGAGTCCTGTTTACACAGGTTTCACTGTATATATAAATTTATAAATAACAGCTTTCTTAATTTTTGTAAAATGTAGGAAGCTTTGTAAATATTAAAAAATTATACATTATAAAAGTTTCGTCGACCTCGTCAGTGGGGCCTAGGAAAATTCCAATGAAAGTGCCCCACGTACAGTATTGAATTGAGAAGAATTTGGGGGGAAATATTTTATTATAA